ATACGCAAACAACGAATCATGGAACACTACATCAAAAACTAATGATGTATGGTGATTAACATAATAAAATAAAAAATGTTTTTCTTCTTACTCATGTAGATGAAAACTAAGCCCCAAGAGTGACCATAGAAGAATGAAAAAGATAATTACCAAGTAGAATTCTGACAGAGGGCTAGAGGTAATGGGGAAAGTTCTAATCCCATCAGAATAGGTAACATTATGTCATCTTGGTAACTCCTTGGAAACTATGAATCTTGGCTGTAGCACCCAGGCCTCAAGGTGCCAAAAATCAAAACTATGGTACCACCACTACTCCCTAAAGGCACTACCACATCCAACTTTGGTACTGGCTGGCTAAGAGTAAACAAGCAGATATTTACCTACAACTGCCAACTCGAGTATATACGATACACAAAAAAAGATTGATTTACCTATAGATATATTTTAGGAAGCAGGAGCCTTCTAATAGCAGTATTTTTCATTTTTTAAAAAAATATTACACAGCTCAAGGAAGGAAAAATATTCTAACACACCATGCCTATTTTTTCTATGGATATGACTAAGAAGCTATTTTCTGAGAGTGACTTAATCTGCTTACTACATCCCTTTCTCAGAGGCAGCTACGTGATTCCTGTTTGTTAGCTGTGACCTGGAGGATACCATGTAACTGAGAATAAAAACTTAACCAGAAAGATTTCAAAACCCTTCTTGATACTGTTATTTTAATTCCTGTGATGTAGCATTTGCAAAGCTTAGTGATCATAAAATAAGTGTGAAGGCTGAAAATATATCTCACATAGACACATCCAGCTGGGAAAACTCAAATATTTAAGACAAATGAAAAGAAAGTATAAGGTTTTGAGATCATTACCACAGGACAAAAGCCCTTCTTCATAGCCCACAGTGTAGGAGAAATCAACAAACTCTCTCGGGGAAATTATATTCCAAAGCTGACCAGCAGTAGTGTAACGCATCACACAGCAATTCTGAAAGAGAAGAGGCGACAGTTGTTACTACTTAGGAAACATATATGGACTCATATACCATAAATTAACCCTTAGTAAAAAACTAATACTCATTTAAAATGTATTTATAATTCTTATTAATAATAATTTTACAGTGGTTCTGATAGGTTTAGATCTCTAGTCTAAACTTCATGGCCACTGTATGGGAATGAATAAGGTTATGATTAAAATACAAAGAGGTAAGTTACCCAGTATCTAAATCTCTAACTCAATGCAGTGGCCTTGTATCCTATATGATATTCAACACGGAAGTAGGTGGTGTAGACTACAGGTGTTTAAGATAAAAATCCACAAATATTTGGACCAAAATACCAAATGTTTCAATAAAGAAATTCAAACATGGGAAAAATGAATTAACAAAAATAGAAAAAGAGGACAACCCACTTTGGTTACATCATTCTCTAATGCCTAAGGTGGCATTTTTATTTTTGGTCTTTGATTTTGGCTTAACATTAATGGAAAAACCTACATACGATTACCTAGAAACCTGAATATGATGGTGTTGTTTTTAGAATTTTAGATTTCAGAATCTCAACTTAAGTTTTACAGTTAAAGAGCTGACAGTTTTCTTAAGCAGCAAGGGTAGAGCTACTGTGTAAAACAAACACAGTTCTGACTAATACTCATTAATATGAGGAAACTCAAGCTTTTTAAAAGGCAGAAAGGATTCCCCTGTGAGATCTCTGCCACGACTACTTACTCTCAAAACAATGAATACAATGAATACAAGTAGGTGCACGTGCTCACACTCACATGCTCTCTCTCACATGCACACACATACACACACACACCCAAAATCTGAAGTAATGTTTCTAAATAAATACCTCTTCAAAGTGTTCCAAAATGTCCATTGAAGTCATTAAGCTGTCCCAATCCAAGCGACAGGGACCTGGGCGTATATGGTCTATGACACTATTGATGCTGTCATCTATAACACCTTGGGCTTTGAAACTGGAGAAAAAATATTAAGGTCAAATGCTATTAGTATGAAAAATTTCAGCACGCCCTCATAGTTCAGAGCTAACTTCAAAAAGAGTAAAAGTTAATACAGCTTTTTTTTTAAAGGGAATAAATCCCAACAGTTTTTCTGATAAATTAAGTTATTTTATCAGAATGTACTCTTTGCCCTCAAATCTAACAAGTGATCTGAAGGCTAAATTATGTTATCATGAACATAGGAAAGTACCTTCATGTTACGGTGTAGCCGAAAACAGTCCACACAACACTCGAGCTTCATTTATTCTGTATGCTATTCTTTTCTCAGGCTCTAACATGTTATTAGTATGCACATATTCTTACTCTGACTTTCAAAAACTTTTTTACAGGAACAGAAAAATAGGTCACCCAGGAATAGCACACAGAGGTTTGACTCATGAATAGTATCAGAACTCGACATATTTCAAAGGTGGCACTAAGTATCAGTGGGGAAAGGATGTACATTGCATAAATGGCGCTTTGATTCAGTACTTACCGTAAAGAGAAATTAAAAACTGAATCACTACTTGACACCATTCAAAACAATTAATTCCAGACAGACTAAAGACCACTACATAAAATTTAAAACTTTGAGAAAAATACATCTTTGTGCCCTCAGGATACAGGGGGATTTCTTGAATACATAAAACAAACAAAAACACAAATAATACAAGACAGTTAAAATTAAAAACTTGCATACCACAAATGACAAAATAAGTAATTTCTTTAAAAACTAGCCATAGACTGGAAGAAGGTATGTGCAACACATATAAACAGCCATAATTATTATAGAGAATACATAATTAATTCCTATAAACCAATGAGAAAAAGACAATCCAAAGAAAATAAGGACAAAAGATACATTAAGATTGATCGGAAATGTCAGTAAATTTGGAAAAGATGCTCAACTTCACTCATACTAAGTAAATACTAACAAGATACCATCTCATATCCCTGAGACTGGCAGAGTAAAAACATAACAAGTATTGAATGGAAGGGAATGAGAACTCTCAAACTGCTACCACCATTTTAGAGAGCAATTAATTTGGCAACGTCTACAGTAGTTGAATGATGCGTGTCCTTAAGACCCAGGTACATACCCAAAGAAAATCACACATGTGTACAGAAGGAGACATATACTAAAGAAGTTTACTATAGCACTGTATTTTATAAGGAAGAATTGTCAACAATCTAAAATTTTACAAACACAGCTAAACACATCGTAATATTTTCATATGAACGTGAAAGAACAGATCTGCATGTAACAACATGGCTAAATCCTGAAAAAAACACTGTATTAAATGGAAAAAATCAAAAGCAAATTACTAAAGGAAACACACACATATATATATATGTGGTCAAAGTATAAAACAGGAATACACACTTTAAGACAGTAGCTACCTCTGGGGACAAAAGAAAAGAAATTAGAGATAGATTGGCTTTAACTCTATCAGTAACATTTTGGGCAGGTCTTTTGAAAAGATTTTTTTTTTTAAAGCATCTGAAGCTGTTTTATCATTTTGTAAGTATTTCCAGCTCAACCTTACACTGTCTCCCCCATCCTAAATCTGCTCTTCCCTCCTGTGTTCTCTAACTTGGGGTGGAGGGTGGGAATGGGGCACTACAAATTAATCCCAAATTAGATATCTGGGATTCAACTTTTGACTCTTTTTCTCTTGATCCCATTTCAATAGTCAGAATAAAAGTCACCATGTTTTATCAAGATGACTTCCTAGATGTAAAGTGCTTAGGACAATATTTGGCTCTCAATGAATGTTAGTTATCATCACCACCACCACCATTAGATCCCTTTCACATTCACTTGCCCTTTTCAACTCTCATGCTACATCCTTAGTTTGGGCATTCTGTGTCCAACTCAACACTGCAACCATTTCTAGCTCTTTGGACCATGTATCTCTTGAAGTTTCTGAAAAAAAGCCGAAGATCTCTTCCCAGGAATATAACACTGACACAAAATTATGTTTATGATCTTAAGGAAACTTCAAGAAGCTAGCCATGGACTCCCAGGGTAAAACCTCTTCTCTAAACTCTCCATGCTCATTTCCATTTTTCACAGTGCTATCAGATTAAGTTCAAAATCTCTGACGACCTGGGAGGTGGGAGTAAGGGTTGAGCAAAGGTAAGCACAATATTGAATTCCTTACTTTAGAATTCAAAAATCCTTCAGACATATGCTCTCCCTACCCTCATACTTTATGCTCCAGCTATACAAACATCACTTCTACTTCCCTAAACAAACTCCTTGGAGTGTTTTCCATCTGTGTTTATGTAGTAGATGCAATCCCCTCTGCCTGGAATATGAATCCGTCCTTCATTCCCTAAGAAATAACCCATTCTTGCTTTAAAGCTCAGTTCATATACTAGCTCTTCAATGAAGTCCCCTCAAATCACCAAGCATAATGCTCCCTTGGCACTTCTCTGTGCTTTTCAACCCCCACTGGGAATCAGTGATCTAAAGGATTAACTTCACACTTGCTTACAATGCTTAATCCACAACTCTAGTTTCCTGGTCCTTGTCATAAATATTGTATAACTCATCTTTCTGGAAATGCTATCTTTGGTATTATACTTGAGAACACATAGTAAGTGGGACCCACAGTTTCATTTTTAAAAGGACTGAGTCCCAAGGATACGAGCATTCCACTCCAATTACACAAGGCAACTGTCTCTCTACTGGCTTTAAAAAACAGTATTTTTTCCTTCTGGTGAAAAGTATAATTCATGTTCAACTATATGCAAATATCAAAAAATGAAAATAGAAATCACCTATAAAGCAGCCATCTCAAGGTGTGTATTTGGTGTTAAGTAAAAATATTTTAATACATAAAAATTAAAGTCAACGCACAATTCTACATGCAGTTTCATATTCTGCTTTATTCACTTTACAGCTTGAGCATTTTCTTGTGTTTTAAACTAATATTTGAAAACAGTTTTTAAAGAGTGTAAAATATCACGTTTCAAAATTTAACCATCTCTATTGATTATTCAAGTTGTTTGTAATTTTTAATATTATAAGTAATGTGATGGAAGAGATAAGTACTTAACTATTATCTTTCTTATGATTTCTTTAAGATAAATTCTTAAAGTATGCTACAGCACTAAGTACATATAGAAGAATATTAGAAGGGAGTTATACACTGTGCTAAGAAATTTAAGATTTTTATAGGCCATCCGATATCATTATTTATGATTTCCCTTACTATCAACTCAGTCCACAAGAGATATGGACACTTTAAAGGCTTTGAATTCATAAGGTGATATGCTTCTTCAGAAAGTTTAAAATCTTTTTTTTT